GGGACACGCCCGACGTAAGACTGCTCAACGCGGAGGGCGCCAACAATCCATCCACGATGCTTGGGCCCGGGCCACGCCCATCCTGGCCCTGCGATCGGCGCACAGGGCCCGGGGCCTCTTGGCCACGCCGGGTGGTCGGTCGCGCCGATCATCGTCTGAGGATGGGCCTGGCCAGAGCCCACGTGTTTTCGCCGAGTGCGTGTACTGTGTGTGCGTCGCGCCCGCGGGGGCGACGCGCGTGCCGACATGAATTCTGGTATAAGCGCCGTGGCGGGAGCCTTCTGGCCCAACTGCTTGGGCAACGGTCTGCTCTCAGACGCGTGCAAGTGCAACTGATTCGCGTCGGACGTGCCCTTCTCACATAAGTGCACCTTACTGGCATGCATGTTTGCGCCCCAGAGATCGCTGCAAGTGTCTGAGTGGCGTCCTTCGCATCAGTCATGAGACCCGCCCAGGAGGAGGTGTAGGAGGAGGAGGAAGAAGGAGGAGGAGGAGGACGAGGAGGACGAGGTGGAGGGCGATGGAGGAGGAAGGAGGAGGAGGAGGAGGAGGGCGATGGAGGAGGAAGGAGGAGGATGAGGAGGAGGAGGTGGAGGAGGAGGAGGAAGAGGAGTAGGAGGAGGAGAAGGAGGAGGAAGAGGAAGAGGAAGAGGAGAGAGGAGGGGTGTGAGGAGGAGAGTAAACAAAACAGGAGGAGGAGGAGGAAGAGGAGGAGGGGGATGGGGGAGGAGGAGGAGTATGAGGAAGAGGAGGAGGTGGAGGAGGAGGAGGAAGAGGAGCGACCGATGAGGAGGAAGAGGAGAGGGAGGAGGTGCCGGAGAAGGAGGAGGAGGAGGGTAGGGTAGAGGGAGGAGAAGGGGGATGGGGAGGGGCCAAACTAGGTGCGTTAGTGTCACATCTGACGTCCAACCCCTCCCTCCAATTCCGCACAGTCGAATGTCGAACAGGGCAATGATCCCAAGAGGGTACGCGATGGATGGAAAGGCATAGCGTAGAAGAGCACGGCAGAGCACAGCATGTCAGAGCAAAGCGTGGCAGTGCGTAGTGATGCATTGCATCACACAGTACAGTAACGCAAAGCATGGCATCGCACAGCGAGCGGAGCACAACACAGCATCACACTGCATGCCGTGGCATGGCACTGGACAACTTCGAGGGTAAGTGGCCCGTCTACCAGAGGACAGGGCCTGTCCAGAATGCCAGCTCCATGTCCTCCGCAACCCTGCTGCCCGATGTTCTAATACTTGATCTGATTTTCGAAGAGCGCCCCAGCCTCCTTCAACAGGTACGGCGGTTGGCCCCCTCTAGATTTTCTTAGCTCTGCCGCACTTCCCTCTATTGCGGCGCGAGTTTAAGCTTGCTACAAGCAGGCCTGCTGAGGAGTCGGGCGTTGAGCTCAAACAAACATGTCCGCTTTTTTGAATGCCAAGTGCCGTCTGGAGGCGCGGGAACGAGGCCAGCCAGCGCTGCAGCGGGAGCATGAACTGGAATGATCGAAGCACGGAAGTGAGGGCGGCGCTGCAGCGGGAGCACCATTTTGGAAGAACTGAAATCGACCAGGTTGAACACAACACATATGCAAAGCCAGATCAGGACATCCTGTATGTTAAAAACAAGACTCGGAGAGGACGGGTCCCTCTCCAGACAGAGTCAGGGGAGAGAGGAGAGCCGTATTCATTGTGTCAATGTAGAGGAGGATGAAGAGGAGGCCGAGGAGCTGGAGGAGGAGGAGGAGGAGGAGGAGGAGGAGGAGGAGCGGGAGGAGGAGGCGGAGGAGGAGGACGAGGAGCGAGCGATGAGGAGGAAGAGGAGAGGGAGGAGGACAAGGAGGAGGAGGAGGAGAAGGGTGGAGGGGAAGTGGGATGGAGAAGGGGTAAGTCAGATGCGCTAGCGTCACATCTGAGGTCCTACCCCTCCCTCCGATCCCTTACCATGGCGTAGATTTCCTATCGACTCGCACAGCCAGATGTCGAGCAGGGCAACGATCCCAAGAGGGTGCGCGATGGATGGAAACTTATGACGTAGAAGGGCACGGAAAAGCACAGCATGTCATAGCAAGGCGTGGCAGTGTGTAGTGAAGCATTGCATCAACAAGCATGGCATCGCACAACGGTGCACACCACAGCATCGCAGTGCATGCCGTGGCATGGCTCCGGACGACTTGAAGGGTAAGTGGCCCGACTACAAGATGACAGGGCATGTCCGGAATGCCGGCTTCATGTCCTCCGCAACCGTGCTTGCCCGATGTAAGCGTTTTCGAATGGAAACGAGGCCAGCGCGGCAGCGGGAAGACGATTTTGAATGACCGAAGCACGGAACTGAAGGCGTCGCTGCATCCGGAGCATCATTCTGGAAGAGCCAAAGACGACCGGATTGACAGCAAACCCATGCGAAGCCAGATCATGACATCTTGTGTGTAGAAATCAAGACGCGGAGAGCACGGGGCACTTTCCGGGGAGAAGGGGGGTTGGATGAAGGTCGGGGTAGAACGTGGAGGGGGCCTCCAAGGTGGTCAACGAGAGCGGCCCTCCCCCGGGACGCAGGCGCGCGCCGCCGCGCGGCCCCATCGGGGGGGCGCGGACGAGCGGTGGGGCGGCGAGGACGGAGGAGGAGGAGAAGGGAGAGGAGGAGGAGGAGGAGCAGGCGGAGGAGGGGGGGGAGGAGTGGGAGGGGGAGGGGGAGGGGGAGGAGGAAGAGGTGGTGGAGAGGAGGAGGAGGAGGAGGAAGTGGAGGAGAGGAGGATTGGACGATTGGAGGATTGTAGGATCGGAGGATGAGGATGCAAGGGGGGCAGAGCAGGTCGGGAGGAGGAGGAGGAAGAGGAGGAGGAGGAGGCGGCGGGAGGATGGATTAGGGGCAGTGGAGGAGGGGCGAGGAGGGGCGAGAGGAGGAGGGGCGAGGAGGGGCATATTGGGGGAGGAGGGGAAGGGGGGGGAGGGGTAGGAGGAGGAGGAGGAGGAGGGAGGAGGAGGAGGAGGAGGAGGAGGAGGAGGAGGAGGAGGAGGAGGAGGAGGAGGAGACGGAGGAGGCGGAGGAGGAGAAGGAGGAGGCGGAGCAGAGGAGGAGGAGGAGGAGGCAGGGGGGCAAGGAGGACAAGGATGAGGAGGAGGAGGACGAGGAGGAGGAGGAGGACCAGTGTAAGCCCAAGAGCCATCAACCATGTTGGAATAAACCCTCCCTCCAAGCTTCCTCTTCATAGGACCCTACAACGGTTCATTTACATTGAGGGAACCGCCTCGTTGGAGGGCAACCGCCTGAAGATCCTAAATGATGCCAAAACATTGTTCTCGGGATTCCAGCGCCACGGATGTACCTGACTGTTGCGATTTGGCGATCCTGAATCTTGCCAGAACGCCATTCTTGGGACTTGATCACTGCGCGGGAATGTAACTGTTCCACCCTCATAAAGCAACATTTCTGGTACTGTGACCATGGGAGTCCGCGAAACTCTTGCAAGTTTTATTTGCGAATGTGCGCGGCGCTGAGGCGGGAGCCACAGTTTGACAAGGAACCGCCCTCAATCCGTGAAACTTATGCAGGTGTTCAGCGCGAGTGTGCGCTGCGCCAAGGCGAGAGCCAAATATTGAAAACGGGTTCCCTTCAATCCGTGAAGCCCTTGCAAGTGTTTAGAACGAATGTGCGGGGCGCTAAGGCGGGAGCCACATTTTGAAAACGGGCTCCCTTCAAACCGTAAAGCTCTAGGAGCTGTTTAGAACGAATGCGCGCGGCATCAAGGCGAGAGCCACAATTTGAAAACGGGTTTCCTTCATTCCGTGAAGTGTTTGCAAGTGTTTGAAACGAATGTGCGCGGCGCTAACGTGAGAGCCACATTTTGAAAACGATCCGCCTTCCATGTGTGAAACTGTTGCCAGGGCCGACAATGGTGAGAAAGTCTCAGGCGAAACGCCCGGCCCGCCCTAGAAATTGTCTTCGGGGTGCGACAGGGAGAAGCTGTTTATAAGGAGCAGAAGTGGAGGAGGAGGAGGAGGAGGAAGAGGGAGGAGGAGGAGGAGGAGGAGGAGGAGGGAGGAAGAGGTGACGGAGGAACAGGTTGAAGAAATTACACCGGATCCTGGGGCTCTTTACATTTCCGCACTTTCTCGAGCCGCACCGGTCTGTGAAGGTCCCAGGGCACGACGCCAGGCAGTATCGACCGCAGTGAAAAATGCAACTCCAGGGTCTCGTCGTCGTCGTCGCCGCCGCCGTCGATGCCAGACTGGAAATTCATCCCGGGTCGTTTTCTTTCACGGGCACGAGGGCCAGAAAGGGCCCGTCAGGCTGTTCTCATGAGCCCAGGGTGTATGGAAACGTCGAGCACTCGACCTCGAAATCTACGGCGCCGTCGTCGTCCTCGTCCTTGTCCTCGTCGTCCTCGTTCTCGTCCTCGTCCTCGTCCTCGTCCTTGTCGTCGTCGTCGTCGTCGTCGTCGTCGTCGTCGCCGTCTGTGTCGTCGTCTGTGTCGTCGCCTTTGTCGTCGTCGTCTTCGTTGTTGTCGTCGTCGTCGTCGTCGGGGTCGTCCTGGTTGTCGTCATCGTCGTCGTTTTTGTTGGTCCTCTTTGTCGTCCTCTTTGTCGTCGTGTTTGTCGTCGTCGCCGCCATGCTTTTCTCATGCCCCCACGGTCTGGAACCGTCGAGCCCTCGACCTCGAACTCCACGACGCCGTCGCCGTCCTCGTCCTCGTCCTCGTCCTCGTCGTCGTTTCGTCGTGGTCTTCGTCGTCGTCGTCGTCGTCTCCGTCGTCGTCGCCGTCGTCGTCGTCGTCCCCGTCCTCGTCCTCGCCGTCGTCGCCGTCCTCGCCGTCCTCGCCGTCCTCGTCCTCTTCCTCGTCCTCTTTGTCGTCGTCGTCGTCGTCGCCGTCGTCGTCGTCGTCGTCGTCGTCGCCGCCGTCCTCGTCGCCGTCGCCTTCGCCGCCGCCGCCGCCGCCGCGCTGCGCCCCCCCCCCCGCGGGGAAGAGGCGGCGCCTCGCCGGCGCGCCGCGGGGGCGACGGGCCGCCGGTGCCGCAGGGCGGGCCGTGGGGTGCCCAGGCCAGGGGGAGGGGGAGGAGGAGGAGGAGGAGGGGGAGGGGGAGGAGGGGGAGGAGGAGGAGGAGGAGGAGGAGGAGGGGAGGAGGAGGAGGAGGAGGAGGGGAGGAGGAGGAGGAGGACCAGCTGGGGAGGAGGAGGGGAGGAGGAGGAGGAGGAGGAGGAGGAGGAGGAGGAGGAGGTCGAGGGGGAGGGGGGAGGAGGGGAAGGAGGGGGAGGAGGAGGAGTTGGAGGAGAGCGAGGAGGGGGAGGAGGATGAGGAGGGGGGGCTGGCCACTTCCGGTGGTAGGTGCTGCTCAGCGAGCAGCACATGTGAGATCGGCGCCTCGTCTTCTCCCCCCCCTCCTCTTCGTCCTTCCTCCTCCTCGGGCCCCGTCGGCGTGGCGGTCGTTAGCTCCAGGTGATCGCGGGGGTGGGCAATGCCCCATCCAGAGTAGGCGGGCAGGACCCAACCTGTCCGCAAGTGTGCGTCCAGGAGGAGGAGGAGGACGGTCGAGGAGGAGGAGGAGGAGGAGGAGGAGGAGGAGGAGGAAGAGGAGGAGTGTCTAGGAGGGGGAGGAGCGAGGCGGATGGGGTGGAGGACTGGGGCGAGGGCAGGGAGGGAGAGGAGAAAGGAGGAGGAGGAGGAGGAGGAGGAGGAGGAGGAGGAGGAGGAGGAGGGAGGAGGGAGGAAGTGGAGGAGGCGGAGGTGGAGGAGGAGGGCCCCGTTGCCGGGCCCCGGGGCCGTCAAAACACGACTCGGAATGAAACACAGGTCCTGGGGAATGGGTCGAGACCGCTTGGGTCGACGCGTTGAACAAATCATGACGTCGGGGCTCTGGGAAGGAGGGGGCCCCACCAGGCTTCTCGCGCGCGCAGGGGGGTGAGAGCTTCGGGGTGGCCTGGGCGCTGCGTGATGATGGGGGCGATGCAGAGGGAGCCCATGCCCAGGAACGCCCTGCTTGCCTCCAGGGTGCCCTGGGTGTCTTGGGTCTCGATGGTTCGGCGATGGGAAACGTGACGGTCCCACACCAAAAGTCGATGGAACTCTTGGGGCTCAGGGTTGGGGTTCTCGCGCGCCCCGAGGGGGTGGAGGTTCTAGATGGTTTTGGGACGTCGCGTAACCCAGAGACACACTCGCGTTGTGAAGAAATCACGACAGGAGGTAGTTTTCTCCCCCTTCGGCCTCCGGGGGCCCTTACCAGGCCTCGGGGCCGTCAGAAAACGACTCGGAGCGATCTGTCCTGGGGAAGGGGTCGAGACTTCCGGGGACCCCGTGTTGAAAACATCACGACGTCTGATCTCTGGGTACCTGGGGGGGTGGGCGACCAATGAGGGGGCAGCGAGGCCTGCAGAAGAGGGGCCCGTGAGGGCCCCTGAAGTTAAGTCGGGCCCGTCCCTCTACAGGAGGAATATTCAACAATAGTCACAAAATAGTCGGGGGACTTTTTTTTTGAGCATTTATTTGCCATTTTGGAGTTTTTGTTTGAGTTTTTTTTTATGTTTCGTCAAAAAAACCCCTGTAGGGGGACACGCCCGACTTAACCCTAAAGGCGCCTTTCAGAATCCAAAAGGGGGCCTTCAGGGCCCAAGAAGTGCACCTCTCGTCCCCCCATCTATCGCGGCCCCACTGGGCGACGCCCAAGGGGTCGAGGGGTTCGAGGGGCTCGATGGGGTTGGAGGCTCGAGAAGTTCGAGGGGTCGGACCCCTCGAAGACCTCGGGCCCCTCAGCCGCCCTGGCGCGCGTGAGGAGGAGGTCGATGGGCTTCGAGGGGTTGGAGGTTCGAGGGTCGGGGTCCAGGGGTGCGAGGTTACGGCGTTGTCGTCGGTTCGCGGCGCGTCTTTCCAGGGAGCCTCGGGCTGCGTTCTTGCACCTGCGCCTCGCCGAAGGCATTCCGCCGGTGCCCCGGTCGTCCCGAGCGGCCGCCGGAGAGCCGAGTCATGAGCCGAAGATCTCACGTCCGAGGGGGGAGCGACGGAGGGAGGCAGGGAGGGCGGGAGGAGGGAGGAGCGAGGAGGGACGATGGAGGATGAGGGGAAGGAGGAAGGATTAAGTTTGGCGTGTCCCTCTACAGGGGGAATCTTCAAAAATAGTCAAACAATAGTCTGGGGACGATTTGTTTTACCTTTTTTTGAATATTCGGGGGGCATTTGTTTAGCATTTTTATTTTTCACCCAAAATCCCCCTGTACGGGGACACGCTCGACTGGAAGGAAGGAGGAGGAAGCGCAAGCGCCATGTGCTCCGGTGTGGCCGGCGCCACTGGCTCCGGCCTGGTACCACACGCTTCCTTGTGGGCCTGCTTCGGGGTTGAGCCACCGAACGGTGTGTTCGCTGGGGCGCCGATGGCGGGCCGGGTGCTGCCATCGTGCGGTGGCAAGAAGAAAGTCAGGCTGCTTCGCATCAGCTTGTGCCAACACAGCACGGACAGGTGCTGCTTTTCTTGTTTGGCCGTCCCCCATCGTCGTGTACTTCTTGGCCTCCCAGCGGGTCGGAGTCAGTAGATGGGGTCGGAGGATCGCGCCGCATCGCCGATGAATCGCCGATGCGGCTCGATGCGGAGCTCGATTTGCTTCACGTCGCATCGTCGCCGGTGCATCGCCGATGCATCGTCAGTGCATCGTCGATGCATCGGCGATGCGGCGCGATCCTCCGACCCCATCTGCTCCGACCCCATGTGAGAGGCCTCTAGTACGAGTATGGCGCTGCTTATTTGCGCTCGGGGGATGCCCTGGAGGTCTGAAGCGCAGATCGGGAACGGAAGCAATTGTCAGGCGATCGCAAACATGGATCAAGGGGGCGTGGACTAGCGGCTGGTCCCGTTTCAATTGGAATCCGCGGATCTCCGCCGCCGAACGAGGCGGCACTGGCCGCATTTTGGGGAAGGCACCTCCCCCGATCCATGGATTTGGCGACCGCGCGCCAAATCCATGGATCGCTAATCCATGTTTGCGCTCCAAGATATCCGCGCGGACCGTCAATCGTTTTCGTCTATGCTTAAGTCGTGAGTGTCCCTGTGCAGGAGGAATGTTCTGTTCCCGATCCCGAAATCTCTGGCGTCCGTGTGCGGGGTCCCTGAAATTTCTGGCGTCTAGAGGCCATCCACGCTGGTGTTCCGCTGTCCAGTGGGACTGTTCGTGCACGCCTTGCTCTTGGTGTGGCCCGCGGCCCCTGGAGTGGCGATGCGGAGCTCCGGCTACGGTTAAGTCGGGCCTGCCCCTCTACAGGGGGAATATTCAGATATAGTAAGAAAATAGTCGGGACGATTTGTTGCTGACCATTTTGAAATATTTGTTCGGCATTTTTGGGATATTCTTCATTTTTCGTCCAAAATCCGCCTGTAGGGGGACACGCCCGACCTAAGGCTACGGCGGCGGCATGTTTTACTCATTGGCCGCAAGGCCCAATCTCCTGACCATGGTCCTCCGGCCTGGTCACGGGGCTTGTTGCTCGTTTTTGTTCACGTTTGTCAGTTGGCCAAGTCATTATTCCTCCGCGGCGGTGTTGCAGACCATGGATTGGTGGTCGGATTGGCTGTCGCTTTTCTCCGTGTGCGGGGTCGTGAAGTTTCAAGGTTGCAGCATCGAGGTTCAGAGTGTGCTTGAGCCTGTCGTGTGCAAAGACCTGGTGGCGTCGCACACTCGTCGTGTCCATTGTGACATTGGTCTTGGGATCCAATACAGGACGCCTTAGTTCGTTAGTCGTTGGCTTCCGCTTGGTTCTGGTTGCCGTAATTGCCTTGTCGTTTACAGTGTTCTCGGTCTCTTCCTGGGGGAGTCGGCGTGAGTTGCAAATGCCCTGCCTATTCGCATTGCATCTTGCATCGGCAAAGAAATGAGGAGGAAGGAGGATTGGAAAGAGGATGCGGAGGAGGAGGAGGAAGAGGAGGAGGAAAGGGAGGAGGAGGAGGAGGAGAATGACGACCAAAATGACGAAACGATGACGACGCCGACGGCGCTGATGACGGCCGCGGTGACGACGGCGAACCTGAGATTCTTGCGCCGTAATGTTTTCACAAAGGGCGAGTTTGCCTTGTTTCGGGCAGCGGGACCCTCCCGAATCGATTCAAACAAAATATTGCAGCAAGGAAGATGGGGTCCAGGATTTTGGTCGAGTATGTCTCATATGTTGAATGGGGCCCGTGTTTTCAAAGAACGCCTTAGCCTTCCCTCTTCCCCCTCCTGCTCATGGAAGTTCCAACCCCGTTCCCGGCCTCTTGGCGGCCTCTTGGGGGCCTCCTGGGCGCCTCCTGGGCGCCTCCTGGGGGCCTCCAGGGGGCCTCTTGGGGCGGAATGGCTCGGATTTTCGGTTCGTGTTCCCTCTTCTGGTCCCCTTTTGGGGCAGTCTTGGGGCCCTCTTGGACCGCTTGGGGCGCCTCTTGGGCTGTGTTGGGGCCCTCTTGGGCCGTGTTGGGGCCCTCTTGGAGGCCTCTTGGGCCATCTTGGTGCGATCTTGGGGACCTCTAGAGCCGTCTGGGAGCGCCGGGGAGCCGAAAAGGTGAGAACGATAACATTCTTCAAAGACGTATAAAAACATATCAATCAAAATAGCCATTGTGGGTTCTCGGGGGAAGCCTCTTCCAGGCCTTTTGGGGTGTCTTGGCGGCCTCTTCGGCCGTCTTTGACCCATCTTGGGCGTCCTGGGGCGATTTTTCTGCGTCTCAGAGCCCTCTTGGACCGTCTTGGGAGCCTCGTGACGCCTTCTTGGCCCGATGACGATGATGATGACGATGATGATGCTGGTGATGCTGATGATGACGTCGGTGGATGACCATGATAATAATAAAAGGGATGATGCTGATGATGACGCTGTTGATGATGATGATGATGATGATGCTGCTGCTGCTGATGATGATGATGATGATGATGATGATGCCGATGCTGATGCTGATACTGATACTGATCATGATGATGATGATGATGATGATGGTGGTGGTGATGGTAGTGGTGGTCATGAGGATGATGGTGGTGACGATGATGAGGATGACTATGCCGATGATGATGATGATGATGAGGATGATGATGATGATGATAATGATGATACTGACGATGTTGGGCATGATGATGATGCTGATCATGATGCTGATGACGATGATGATGATGCTGTGATGATGATGATGATGATGATGATGATGATGATAAAAATGATGATGATGATGATGATGATGATGATGATGATGCTGATGATGATGATGATGATGATGATGACAGTGGTGGTGCTGATGACGATGCTGATGAGGATGGTGTTGCTGCTGATGATGGTGCTGATGATGACAATGATTATGCTGATGATGAGGATGATGATGATGTTGATATGGATGCTGATGCTGATGCTGATTATGATGTTGTTGCTGATGATGACGATGATGATGGCGATGCGTATGAATATGATGATGACGACAATGATGACGATGATGATGTCATGCGGCGGGCAGAGGCAGGAGGAGGGAGGAGGGAGGGGGCGACATTGAGGGAGTGTGGGTTGGACGCGGGGCGCTGCCTCTTCAAAGCGAGGAACTAACCGCACAAGATAGTTGGCAGTTCTCCCCATGCGGTCGCCCTCGCCCTCGAACCCCATCGTTCTCGGCGCCCTCCCCCCTGGCCCACAGCCGGCGCGCAGGCCAGGGGGCCGGCCAGCTTCTCGGCGCCGCTGTTCCGGACCTCGCAACACAGGGCGGGGCGGGGTGCCTCCGTTCTCCCTCCGTCCCTCCTCATCCCTCTCCCCCATCCCTCCCTCCCTCCCGCCCGTCGCCCCCCCCCCCCCTCCTTCCTCCCTTCCCCCTCCTCCCTCCATTTTTCACTCCTTCCCTCCCTCCCTCCCCCTCCTCTTCCCTCCCTTCCTCCCTCCCTCCATCCCCCTCTCCATCCCTCCCTCCTCCTCCCCTCCCTCCCTCCCTCCGTCCCTCCCCCCCTCGCTCCCCTCCCTCCCTCCTTCCCTCCCTCCCTCGCCTCATCCTGGCGTTTGCGTGGCACCCGTCCTCAGACCATCGTGCACGGTCGGTCGGGCTGGCTAAGTCGAGGCGAAGTGAATCCAGCGTGTCGTGCTTTGTTCACTGGGTGGGTACTTATTGTATTGTTTCGTGTAGTATTGATTTGGGCAGTGACACAACAGCTTGGCGGTACCATTGCATGGGGACACTTAGCAGTGGCAGCGTGCTGTGTTGCGGTCGGGCGCGATTCGTCTCTCAACGTCGTGTGGTGGGTGCAGTGCCCCTCACCAATTACATCGCTGGGGCGGCGGTCTGTCATCATCCGTTTCAGCGCTGCTTCTCTCACGGCCGCATGGGCGCGTCAAGCTGGGCGCAGCTTTCGCCATTTACAAGTCCCACATATCCCATTGCCGCTTGGTGTGTGTGTGTGTATATTTTGTTTGTTGTTGGTATTTCGCGCCCTCGCCGCGACGACCTCTGCAACTTTTGGACGGTCTGGAAGTGTCACTCATCCCGAACATCGTCGTTTCCTTCATCGCCTTCGTGTTCTGTCAGAGCGGTGGGGCCGACATCGCAGATTTGTGGACATCAGTGCAACACTGTCCCCCTCTTTCTGGAAACTACCAATGCTTGTGGATTTCCAAGCGGGTTCCGACGAATCCCTACCTTGAGCGATGGCGGTTTGGCAACTTTTCCAGGACAGGCATGCAGCGAGACGCTCTGTCCAGGAAGCGGCGTACGAAACTCCGTTCGCAGATATGGTCAAGATTTTCTTCGCGGCATATGATGGTTCCGGGTCTCAGTTTATTGACGCGAGCGCCAAGAGATGTTCTCAAGTTCCAGCGGGGGGAGCTACATAACAAATTGCGTTTTTTCCCCAGTGGCCTTGGTCACCAGCAAACATCGTGGATTCGTCGGTGGACGTCTGCCCGAGTATCTTTTCCCAGTGGTCTGCGCATTTGCATGTGTGGCTGTGAAGGTTGCAAAAGCGAAGTTGGTCATTCCTGGGTCTGTGGGAATCTTGCTGGGGTAATTATGATGGCCAAATCTGGGGGCTGCTTTTTCTTCCAGCAGGCGTGCTGCTTCGCTGGGGACTTCGACGTGCGGGCGACGACGACCTGCTCAACACCCAGCCACTAGTAGCTACCATGAACCCTGTCATCGCGAGTTTGTGCAGACCAACGCCCTTGTGAAAGCCGCGCGCGGTGCCATTCGTGACCGTGCTCTTGTCCATCTTCGAAGGCGCGATCGTGCTACCAGACGCGCGATCCCCCCATCGTCAAGCGCCCCGAAGGAACGATCAGGCTCGCGTCAAGGACTTTGCAAAGGTCGACCTCCCGGCCGAACTTTCGCTCGGGCGGTGCACCGCGCACGATGGTCTGCCATGCCGCGTTCGATGCTCCATCCACGGCGGTGGGCGAGGCGCGCTTCCCGGTCGAAGGCCTCAGGGGCGCTGGCAGCGCGGTGCTTGAACGGCTGCGTGACCTCCTCCTCCGACGCGTTGAGTTCTGGGCGCGAAATACGAGGACTGGATGAGTTGGGGCACTAGCTACGTGGCCGGCACTTTCAGATACAGGATGTTCAGGTGCGTTTCTCCTGACACAGACGCCACTGATAGCAGGCGCCTCCCCCTCAGCTCGGCACCGCGCCATGTTGGGCGGCCCAACTTCCCCGTGGGGCGCGCTGCCTCGGCCGCTCGCGTTGCCGGGTCATGGTCTGGATGCGACCGCGCGCGGGTGTTCGCCCTTTGCGTCCGCCGGGCAAAGCTACTCGCAATGAGACGTTGGCGGCGGGGCAGGAGCAGCTTGTCGTCGCTGTAGCGGGGGCCCGCGATGGCCGACCAGCGCGCGAGGTCACGGGGCATGGAACGGAGGCCCTTCCTTTCTTTCGAGAGCGAGGAGCACGATGGAGTCGATCGCTTTCGCCGTGCTTGTGCCGAGCTTACAATTGACTGCGACGACGTCGAGGGGCAAAGACTTCGCGGCGCTGGCAGACCGTTGCCGTTGCCGTCTCAGCTCGAGTTGCGTCGCCGCGACCTTGCAGAACGCGCCTCAGTCTCGGCTGTCGTCAACTTCGAAGGCAGCGACCTCCAGCAATGGGTGAAGTGGCGCGCCCCTTCTGTTGCGGGTCCGCTCCGGCGATCGAGTCTTCGGCCGCTTGCCCGCGCCGCTCCGCGCGACGCCCCAGGTGCGCCCTCGTGCCCGGCGGACAGATGGAATTTAGCTATCGAGTTGCGCGCGGGTGGATTGCACGACTCGGCTTTGACTCGCGAACAACTGGGGGCGCACTTGCTGTCGCCTTGGCCTGTGCACGATGGCGACGGGTCGCCGCTTTGCGTCGACGCGCGGTTGCACCGTCGGCGGAGAGGGTGGATCGCAGACGCCGCCAGAAGGGCAAACAACGAACAATCGAACTTCGGAGCTTTTCAGTTGTTTTTCAATGCGCGCCCAGGGGGTCTTCCCAGCATCATCTTCGCCCAATTCCACATCCACCGATTGATCCTTCGTCTGGCGGGTCCGACGCCAGCGAGCGCAGCGCCCAGGGGGCCGCGAGGCGTCCGCGGGCGGGCTTCGAGGGATTTCTTTCCGACCCTGCCGAAGCTGCTCCTGGGCCACTTCCACCCGCGGCACCGACGCGCCTGGCTTGCGCGGGCGACGTCTCCGACGGCAGCGACGAGGATGGCGACTTCGACCGACTTATGTCGGAGTCAGCCTCGGCGTCATCTACCGAGACGGCTCAGTTTGCGGTGCCGCCTTTCTCTCTGCGTGGGTGCGAGCGGTGCTGTGGCTGGCGCTTCGCCGAGGATGCCTTCGCGCCTGGTGTTCTCGGGTGGTTTGGGCCCCTGCTCGTCTGCCATGTCGGTCGGAACCCCCGCGGAGGCGCCCCCCCCCCCCCCCCCCCCGCGGCCTCGCATGCAGGGCGCGATGGGCCTCGTGCGTCAGTTGGAAATCTGACGGGGGCGAGGGCCTCCCCAGCGGCCCCACGAGACGGGGGGCCTCCTTGTCCCGAAGGCGCTGGAGAAGGGGCGTTTCATATGCCGCTCGGGGGGCCGACGGAGGTCGGGGTCTGTCCCGCGACTTCGCATGTTGATGGGCCAACTGCTGAAGGTGCCGAAGGCGAAGAGGTCCCCCCCCCTCCCACGCTTGAACAGGTTGCCAGGATGCGCCGGGCCCCACCTCTGGCGTTGCTACACGGGCTGATGTGGCCGATGCGTGGCTCGCATGGAGTGCTATCGCTGGAGTGGCGCTTCCCGCGGCGCGGGCGAGTCGATGCGAGCGCGCCGAGCCTCGGCATTCCAGTGCCCCGCGCCCGCAGCGACCACAAGTTGCCATCGGGCACGTGGATGAGAAGTGCGCGCCCTCCCTCCTGACCATCGACGATGGGTGGTGATGTGGATGACCCAGAGACCCGGCAGCGTTTTCCATTCAACTTTGTCGAGTTCGGGCTCCAGCCGCACTCTGGGGGCCTCTCCGCTCGACGCTTCTTAGAGTGATGGGTCCCGCTGCTCCGCTGGTGACGGTGGCCTTCTTCTGGCTGCGGCGGAGGGCGAGCTCGGGCCTCGTTTTGATTCGATGCGCGCGGGTACTCTTCACGGGCATGACGTAGGAGAAGGAGGTGTGTGCAGCCCCGACATGCTCCCAGAGCTGATTGTTGACGCGCAGGTGGAAAGGGGGAGGGGCGTCGCGCTGAACCGCGCGTTCATGATGCAGCGCAAGGCGGGCCAGGCAGCGACGGCGCGGACGCGGCTACCGAGAGGGGCTGCCAGGAGATGGCCGACGCGCAGGATTTCCACGACTCTGTGCTGGGCCCTTCGGCGGAGACGGCGAAGGCGCTCTCTGCTGCCTCTGCTGCGCCTGCTGCCCGCTCGTCTCCTGCGGCCCCCAGTCCGTCTGGCGCGATGCTGGATCGGGCGGGAGGACCCGTGGCCGAATATGCTGCAGGCGTGCAATTCTCGGCCGGTGCCTTGCAGCAAGCATCGCCGGCACCCGCCGACCAGCTCGTGCAGTCAGTCTCTGACGGCGACGCCACCGCTGTGCGATTTGTTCATTACCTGGAACCTGGCATCGTTCGGACGTGTGCATTTTTTCTCGGCGAGAACCATCGAGGAGCATCCTTGATCATCTGGCGAAAAAACCACGCACGAAATCGAACCAAAACACAGGGAGTGGACGTCCGAGCGATGGCGAGGAACAGTTCCACCGACGACTTCTACGGGGAGCAGGACGTCTGCGACGCCGCGTTCCCGAGATGCCTTGTCGCCAGCGGCGTTTAAGTCTGCGGGCGGGGATCTCCTCGAGACATGGGCTCCTCCGCCCTCCTCTCTCTCCCCTCCTCCCTCCTCCCTCTTCCCTCTTTTTACCTCTCGCTTCCCTCCTCTCTCTTCCTCCATCCCCCCATCCTCCCTGCTCCCTCCTTCGCCCCTCCGCCCTACTCTTTCCTCCTTCTCCTTTTCTTCCTCCTTTCTCCTCCCTCCTCCTCCTCGTGCTCGTCCTTCTCTTCCTTGTTTTCTTCCTCCTTTTCTTCCTCCCTCTCTCTCCCCCTCCTCCTGTTCCTCCTCTTCCTCTTCCTCCTCCCCCCATCCTCCTCCTTGTCTTCCTCCTCCTCCTCCTTGACCTCCTTTTCCTTTTCCTCCTCCTCCTCCTCCTTCTCCTCCTCCTTCTCCTCCTCCCTCTTCTCCTCCCCTCCCCCCCCCTCCCCCCTCCTCTCCCCCCCTCCTCTCCCCTCTCCTCCTCCTCCTCCTCCTCCTCCTCCTCCTCCTCCTCCTCCTCCTCCTCCCCCTCATTTCCCGTTCTCCCTCATCCTCCTTCTTCCTCCTCCACTTCCTCCATTCATTTTCTCTTTTAAAAATGTTTCCCTGTCGGGAGGGCCAGTTTTTAGGCCGAGCGGGCCAGGCGTTTCGCTTGAGACTTTGTCACCACTAATGATTCTAAAGCTTAACATTGGCAGCATTTTCACATATGGACGGCGGGTCGTTTTCAAAATGTGGCTCTCGCGATAACGCCGCGCACATTCGTGCTAAACACTTGCGAGAGCTTCAAGGATTGAAGGCGAGCCGTTGTCAAAACATCGCTTTCGCTAGCCGCGCACATTCGTTCGTAGGTTCCACGAGTTTCACGGGTTGAGGGTGGATCCTTTCCAAACCAAAATGCAGTTATCGCCGTAGCGCCGCGAACATTCGTCAAACACATTGCAATAATTTCGCGGATTGATGGCGGTTCCTTTTCAAAACATGGTTCTCGCCGTTGCGCCGCGCACACTCGTTGTTAACAGTTGCGAAGTTGCACCGATTGAAGACGGTTCTTGTTTCAAAGTGTGGCTCCCCCCCCCACCGCCGCACACATTCGTTTTAAGCATTCGCGACAGCTTCACGGATTGAGGGCGGCTCTTTTTCAAAACACGATTCTTGCCTTAGCGGCACGCACACTCGCATTAAGCATTTGCGAACATTTCACGGATTGAGGGCGGTTCCTTTTTTTCAGAATGTGGCTCTCAGCCTAGTGCCGCGCACATTCGTCCTGAAACATTGCAGGGGTTTCTTCGATATCCATGGTCAACGTACCAGAAGCGGTGTGTTGGACAGATTCAGGTTCGAAGGCGCCCAGAATCGAAGGCGCGTCGAGCATCGATCGGGGCATATATTTTTTCGAAGGCGCCCAGTTAGGTGTGTGAGGATCGGAGCATCGATCTTTTCGAAGGCGCCCAGAGCACGGCGCACTGGGCGTCGGGGAGGGGAGGCCGTGAGTCACCGGTGTGCGCGGCTTTGCTGGCCATCCGCGCCGGCGCCCGGCCAGCCCCCCCGCTCGCGGGGCGCGAGGTGGTCGGCGCTGGCGACGCCACGGCGCCCGAACAGAGTCGTGGCAGGCCAGCCACAACTGTGGGAGCCATCGGTCTCGACACGCCTCCCGAGAGATCGTCGATGCGATGGGTTCCCCCAGGGGGGTAAGAACCGGGGGTGGACAGAACCCCCAACAGTGACACGTCGATTAGTGAATTGTCCGTTTTCGGTTCTCGAGAAAGCGCCGTGGCCGTTATTGTCCAGGCTTCCACCCGCAAGGTTTGGGCCTCGGGTCGTTTTCACTAAACCACGTTTTGCTAAAGGGGGCTCTGTCCATCCCCGAAAGAGCCACAGCTCCCAAAAGGGTGGCTGGTCGGCGTGGGCGAAAAGCAGGCCCAGGCATGCTCGCGCCGGGCCAGAAATAGATGGACGGGGGATGTCTGCTGCCTCCGCGGGCCCTCGCTGGGCCCCCGGGGCCACCAACAAGAGGACTCAGGATGAAAAACCGTTCCCGAGGGAATTCTGGACGCCCGAGATGAGTACGGAAAGAGTGGGTACGATGCCCAACAGCAGTCCCTGCTCATTTCGAACAGGACTCGCTGTCCGCGCCGCCGCGGCCTGTGTCCATTTGAGGCAGAAGGCCGCCTGCCCAACAGTCGCCGCTGTTGGTTTGGGACAACAGCTGTGGTTGGGCATTGTACCCGTTCTGTCCGTACCCATTCCGGGCGTCCAACAAAAAATTCAGGATGAAAAACCGTTCCCGAGGAAATGGTCGGGGTTTCCAGGAACCGCGTATTGAGAAGTTCAGGGCGTTCGCGTCGTGCCGACTGGCGGTGACGTCGCCGCCGGCGTTCAGCGTGGAACGACGTCAGCGACCCAGAATCGGTCGATGTTTCAACGATCTGCAACTGCCTATCATCAAGTCGGGCCTGTCCCCCTACAGAAGGATTATTGAGGATAGTCAAAATTAGTCTGGGGACGATTTTTTGACAAACTTTCACAATGTTTTGGTATTTCCGGACTACTTCCGTATTTTTCATACGAAATCCCCCTGTAGGGGGACAGGCCCGACTCGAGCCGATCATTCAAGGCTGGGTGGTCCCGCGGTGTCCGAAGCCAGCGCCGAAGTCGGCCCCCCCGAGCGCGGCGCGCGAGGCGGCCGGCGCGGACGCCGCCGCCGTGCAGCGGCAGCCGCAGGCGGGGCGTGCGGTCTCGGTGCGCGGGCGGAGCCCTCTCGGAGAGGGGCCGGTGCTCGAGCGAAGTCGGGGCCCTCTGGCGGGTGGTAGCCGTGGGCAGCGAACCAGAACCCCCCCTCCGGGTCCCTCCTCCTCCTCAGCCTTCTCCTCCTCCTCCTCCTCCTCCTCTTCCTCCTCCTCCTCCACAGCCTCCTCTTCCTCCTAGTGTTTCTCCTCCCCTTCCTCCTCCTGCTGCTCCTCCTCCTCCTCCTCTTCCTCCTCCTCTTCCTCCTCCTCCCTCTCCTCCTCCTCCTCCTCCTCTCTCTCCTCCTCCCTCCTCCTCCTCCTCCTCATCCTCCCCCCCTTTCGGGTAAAACGACGACGCAGCCAGCACCGTGAAGCATTAGCCTGGCAGTTGGCGCCCACTGGCCCCTGAAGCGCGCTCGGGTGCAGCGGTGCCGTGCGAACGGAGCCACGGGGGCCTTCACGAGAAGTCCCGACGGGACTGCCAAGCGTGCGAGAGCTGTGCCGCCACTCGGGCACCACCACCGGGTTTCCAGCTCTGCGCGGCAGTACTTGCGTTAAGTCGGGCGTGTCCCTCTATAGGAGGAATATTCAAAATCCGCCAGTAGGGGGACATGCCCGACCTATAATGCTTGCGGTCCGTGGGTGGGGGGGAGGGCAATAACTATTTGTTTGTTGTGCGCTGGTGCGGGTTAGCAGATCGCTCCGCGGAATTCGCCCCCACCGATGATTTTGTCGATTTGGTGCTAACGATCATCCAGGGGGGTTCTGAATCGGTTCCTCTGGTTCAATGGCTCGGCATCGCTCGGGCATTCAAGCAATGGCGAAGCGTCTCGGCTTGCCTACAGGTCAACTAAGTAATGTTCTAAGAACATGTGCGGCTGACACGAAGTGTTCTTAGAACATGTCTGGTTGGGCTTCTTGTTTCACGCAAACGGCTCCATGTTTTGAGAACATGGTTTTTGTCACGAGAACGTTCTCGGGTGGTAAAACAATATGGCGTGGTAGACCTAGAGGATGCCAGGACGGTCGGCCACTGCTCAAGGCGTGTGCTTGTTCATCCGGCGATGACCATCGTGGAGCATTTTGCCTCACCTTGCGAAGCCAACATACATGCACGACGTCGAAGCCTGCACGTGGAGTGGACGTCCGAGCGATATCGAGATGGGGGGTGACCCTTGGGGGATAGGGCCCTTGTAGGGCCGCTTTCTTCACCCCCCATGTAATTAGGTCACCGTGCAGTGCCACCCGCCCGACTGGGGCTGGGGCCGCGCGGCGCCAGCCCCAACTCTGGAGGGGCCTTCGGGCGTGACCGGCGGCGCTCGGCGGCCTGTTCCGGCAGCTGCGCCCCGCCGAGGGCGTGCGCCTCGGAGCGCCCGGGTCGCCCCGATCGGACGTCGGGCTCCGCATCCCGAGTTGTGTCCTGGACAGCCCCTGGCCTTGACGTGAGGCTCCGCCTTCTGCCTCCCCCCCTCTGTTAATTGAAGCTGTGCGCGGCCCGCTTGGCTTCGACCGGAAGAGGTGCGCCCTCGACCCGCAGGCCAAAAAGTTTTGGATTGCCCCCGCATCCAGCGAGGGCCTCAAGGAGGCGAAACCAATCAAAGCACTCCAGCCACATGAGATTCCAACATACGTTAGCCTTGATCACCAGAGGGAAGTTCGAGCACCGGGCAAGTACCGAAATTGGAGGGTCTTCACGTGTCGGGCCCTGGGAGGCGATATTCGTCGGCCCACGTGGGCCTCATTTCTGGGACTTGGTCCTTAAGCACGATGGATCAACGTAACCCCAGCCCCACCCGAGGGGCCCCAGTCTGCCCTCCCTTCCCAGGAGGGGGGTGTGGGCGTCGGCGCACAGTCAAGAAGCACAGGTGGAGCCCGTGCCTTCCCCCCCCCCGGCCCGAAGTCTGAGCCCTCGGGTTGGGTTGGGGTGGTCTGCTATCGCCGAGCGCGTTCCGCTACTCGCAAAGTGCCTACGCGCAGACCTCCGAACAACCCTACATCTGCCTTGGTGGTATATTAGATATGTGTATATAGACATATACATCTAGATGTACATATGTTTTTATGTATGCATGCATGTATGTATGCATGTGAATACATGTATGCATGCATACATGCATGTATGCATGTATGTTTATTCGTATGGCTGTATGGGTGTACGTGTTGATGTATGTATGTATGCATGTATGCATGCGTGCATGTATAGATGTACGTATGTATGCATGCATGCATGTCTGTCTGTCTGTCTGCCTGTCTGCCTGTCTGTCTGTCTGTCTGTCTGTATGTATGTATGTATGTATGTATGTATGTATGTATTTGTGTGTATGTATGTATGTATGTATGTATGTATGTATGTATGTATGTATGTATGTATGTATGTATGTATGTATGTATGTATGTATGCGTGTGGATGCAATACTGTGTTTATGAGTGTATGCATGCATGCATGCATGTATGTATGTATGTATGCATGCATGTATATATGCATGTATGTATGTATGGATGTATGTATGTATGTATGCGTGGGGATGCAATAATGTGTTTATGTATGTATGTATGCATGCATGCATGCATGCATGTATGTATGTATGTATGTATGCATGCATGCATGTATGCATGTATGTATATATGCATGTATGTATGTATGTACGTATGTATGATTATAGGCATGTACGTACGTATGCTGTGTATGTTGACATGCACGTATGCTTTTATCGATGCATGAATGCATGTGAATATATGAATATAGGTGTGTCTATAAAATATGTACAAATATATACTTATAAATGTATGTATGTGTGTATATATAGTGCCTCCCCTGCGGCGGATCCAGGCAATTTGCCAGCAGCTACTCTGCAGGTGGTGGAACGCGCTCGTCGATGGTAGTAGGTTGGCAGGTGGTCGAACGAGGACGAGCCTCCGCCCTCGTGTTCTCAGGGCGCTGGCGCCTTCTGAGCCTCCCGCCCTCGACCTCGGCACCCTCGGCCTCGACGCCCCTCGACGCCCCTCCCCGCCCTCGCCCCCGGCGTGCCCTCGGCCTCCGCTCCGCGGCCCCTCGACGTTTGCTCCCCGATGCGCCTCGACCTCCTCGGCGCCGGGCCCCGGGGCTCTCTCGGACCCCTCGGGGTGCTCCCCGACGTCCCTGTTGTCGCAGCCGCAGGGCGAGAGCGCGGGCGGCGAGTGACCGAACGGGCGGGCCGCGCGCGAACCTCCTTGCTTAACGCGCCGGCAAGCAGAGGCCCAGGCGGCACCTCGGAACACCGGGGCGGAGGGGGTGCGGGCTGCAGCTGCCAGGGCCAGGTCCAGGAGCGCTCCCCGACGCCCGCGAACCTAATTGCCTAACGCGCCGGCAAGCAGAGGCCCAGGCGGCACCTCGGAACACCGGGGGCGGAGGGGGTGCGGGCTGCAGCTGCCGGGGCCAGGTCCAGGGGCGCTCCCCGACGCCCGCCCACGCACACGTTTCGGTTTTGCTCCGAGGGGGCGGCCCCAGCGCCTCCAGCACGTTTTGCGCGCCGCACCCTTCCCCCCCCCCGAGGCCTCGATCGCCTCGGCCCTGGACCCTCGGTGCTGGCCCTGGATCCTCGGCCCTCGGATGCTCCCCGACGTCCGCCAAATTATGTTTCTTCGATGCGCGGCCCCAGCTCCAAAAGCATGTCTCGGGCGCCGCAGCCTTCCCACCCCTGACAGATTCTCCCCACCGAGGCCACGTTCGGTATGCAGGAACCACGCCCCAGGGAGGGAACTGTTTCTACCAGACCTATGACCAGGACCCTCGCACACCACTCCCCAGGGCTTTTGGGCACAGCATACGAACCTTTCGGGCGGACCAGGGATGCCGACCTCCACCTCAGGAGGTGTTTTTTGTTTACCCTCTCGACCCTCGACCCTGGATCCTCGAGGGCCGCGGTGATGGTAGTGGGTCCTCTCCCTCCCCTGCGCTGGTCGCCCTTCGACACTGCGATCCTCCGGCGGCGGCGCTCGAGGCTCGAGGGCCGAGGCCTGGCGCTCCTCGGAGCGCCGATCCTCGGGCGCCGCGCCTCGAGCGCCCGCCCTTGCGAAGGCCGGAGGCGCCGCGGATCGGGGATCTCCAGGGAGCCGGGGCGTCGAGGGTCGAGAGGGCCAGCCAAAAAAAGGGTCGAGGACCTCGAGGCCTCGAGGGCGTCGAGGGCGTCGAGGGCGTCGAGGCTCGGGGCTCGAGGCTCGAGGAGCGAGGGCCGAGGCTCGAGGCTCGAGGATCTCCAGGGTGGAGGCGTCGAGGGTCGAGAGGGCCAGCCACAAAAAGGGGGTCGAGGGCCTCGAGGCCTCGAGGGCTCGAGGCGTCGACGGCTCGAGGCGTCCGCGCCCCGACGAGCGGCGCCCGGCGGCCCCCGCGGGGAGAGAGGCCGCCCACGCGCCGCCGCTGCTGCGGCTGGCCGCCTCGCTGGCCGCCCCGGAGGCTCGGCCTTGTTTCCCCGACCCCCATCCCTCGGGGGGAAAAAAACACACACACACACACACACACACACTGGGGAAAACACACACGCGTCTGTGGGACAAAAACACAAACAACACAAAAACACACACACACACACACACGCACGCACGCACGCACGCA